TCAAAAAAAAAGGCTTACTCATCTTCTCTGAGGCTCCTCTGAAGGATGGAAATTTTTTAAAAAAAATCCCATAACTCATCAGGCTGTTTTGAGCATTGAATGAGATAAATGAACATTAGCAGAAAGCAAATACTCAATAAATATTAGCCTTTATTACAGCTACTGTTTCCACCTTTTCTGCATCCTGTACTGAGGATTGAATCCAGCAGTGCTCTACCACTGAGCTACATCTCCAACTCTTTACAAAAAAATTTTTGAGAGTCTTGTCCTGTTGCCCAGGCTAGACTAAAACTTGCAATCTTCCTGACTCAGCCTCCAGAGTAGCTGGGATTATAGGACAAATGTGTGCCACTGTGCCTGGCTATTGTTAGCTTCTGAAAAGTAAAATTAAGATGCATGCAATATGAGGTTTAGGATGAGAATAAAGCCAAACAGATAACAAACAGACTTTAAAAGCCAAATGGTTATAATGTCACAAAGCCTAAGAAGGACACTACTGCCTGTCCTTGGAATATGGACTATATTATCATAGTAGTCCTATGTATATTGTCCATGGAGACCAATCCACTGGAGTAACATGACAGAATATATCTGCAAGGAAGTTCCACTTTCAAAGGAATTAACAAATTCCTTGTTGTTGGAAAGCGCACACACTTCAGAAATCCATGGTATTAATCTGATACCATGTCACATGTCAGAACACTCAAATCTGTTGGGCATACCTGTGACTTCTAGGCACTGCTCTTGTGGTTCTTTTTCCAGGACACAAAGGCTGCTCAAAAGTGTGTTACATTTATCTGAACACTTCATCCTACTTGCTTTGCTATCAACAAAAACTTTCACTGACTGAAGCCATTTATGGCAGAATTTGGTTTCATTGTGTGCTATATTCTCAAAGCCAACAGTGTCTGGCACATAGTAGATGCCCCCAAGTTAGGCATTCATTATCTCTTGAAACTCTTATCTCTTGGGGGCAAATTTCACAGGCCAGCATAGGAGTGGGCAGACAAAAAGCCGAGGAAAGACAAGAGACAAGCGTTATTTGGCTTTTCATCTTTGCAAGGCGTTGCTGCTTCTACTAGCTATGGGCATTTTACAACTTTAAATCATACAATCTCCTTCCAAACTATGCTACGTCTCAAGGACATTAGTGTAAATCAACCAGAAACAAATCAATTATAGAAAATCTTTCTGGGCTGTAATCTTACTATTGAGCAAAGATAGCCTAAATGTGGACATGCCATTTTTCAACTCAATTATGCCAAGCACTGTAGCATCTTCTACCTCTTAAGTTTTCTGTAACAGGAAAAGTAAACATTTTTTATTTACTGATATCTATTCTGCGTGCTACTGTGGTGATATAAGTCACTGTGGGACTGTCTCTTTCAGAGGTCCATTCATGAGACTCAGTGATGGAGGTGGTAGGGGTTGAGGTCATATAATTGTGGTTTTCAAAGACTTATACAAAACAAGATACTTATGGGATTACATATATAAAATATGCATTAGTTTAGATGTATACATATTTGTGTATATAAATACATGCATAGGTTTTGGAGCCAAATCAAACTTGGTTGAAATTATAGCTCAACTATTTGTGAACTGTGTACCCCTGGACAAGTTCCTCAACTTTGCTAAATTTGTTTCCTTTCTGTAAAAAGCTACTAACAAAACCTATCCCAAGGAATGGTTGATTATTTAATACTGATGGATAAAATAGTTTGAAATACATCTGAATTTGAATTGTGGATCTACTGCTTAAGTTGAATGAGACACTCAACTTCTGTAAGTTGTTTTTTTCTTTGTGAAATTGGAATTAAAGAGTGTACCTAACAAAGTTATTGGGCAGATTAATTAAATCTGCATAACATGTTTAATACAGTGCCTAGTATAGAGTAAGGGGCACAATAAACGTTAGCTGTTATCATTACATCAATAATTACTGTTATTATATTTAAAAAGCAGCAGTTAATAAACATTGATGTGGCCATCTCTTCTACCTTAGCCTCCTACTAATGAGAAACACCTAAAAATTAGAGAACTGGATCAAAGGCTAGGCATATCTTTATAAATATGTGATACTGCTCACTACCAACTTAGGTCACTAACATCATACAGTCCATTTGTTTTACTGCAACCCTCACCAACAGATTTTTCTGCTTTATTTAAAGGGGCAACATGGTATCTCAAGTTTACTTTAATTTTCGTTTGTTCCTGCAATACTGAACATTTTCCTATGTATTTTGCTTACTGTTTGACTATCTTCTAGTGTGAAGATTTATTTCTATCTTTTGCTTATTTATCAACTTGAAGCTTGCCGATATTCATAAAATTTGAATAAACTGAATATATTAGCAACATTAACCATTATATTTAATGCAAATACTTTTTGAGTAAGCTGGAAAGTTTTGTGTGTTTGGGAGCAACTGTGGATGAGGTTGCTGTCTCCAGCATAGGAAACTCTATTCTCACAGCTTTAACATCCATCTCTGGACATCATTGGGGCTGTGTGTTACTATACTCCTTTATTTCTAACTATAGGATACTCCTTCTTGTCTTCTTGACATCTCAAGTCTACTATAGCTATAACTGAGTATTAGATGTGCCTCAATCAGCTAGCTTGTCCAAACTCCCACATTTGGTAGTTTATCATCCTAGTCAAGCAATTTTAAGGCTGTCGGTCAAAACAATATAGTAAAAAAGGCCCCCAGAGTGTCTCAGACAGGCCTCTTGAATTGGAAATTGTTGTGTTTAGATTTTTTAATTTGGAAACTATGATGATCATACATATCAAGAGAATAAGCAAAGGCAGCAGCCAAACCAACATGTTATTTCAGGCCCTTTCTGTTATACCATTATCTGCTTCTAAGGCAGATGCATGTGAGCCTTATAAGTAGAAAAGCCCTATGCAGACTGCCATCCAGGCATGAGAAATTAAAATAACCAGGAATAACTAGGGGAAAAGAAAGCACTAGAAATTTTTGCTTTGGGCGTTTGTTCTGACCACCTACTTTCCTTATTTTTATATTTTAATGGTGTCATTTTTCACATTATTTGGGTAATTAATGTTTTAATTGTTACAGTATTTTGTTTTAACATTGTGGCTTTTTCATGTTGATACTTCATTTAGGAATTGAGCAACGTGAAATCAGGAAATCTGTTACAAATTCCTTCTAAAATCTAGGCCATGGCCGGATGTGGTGGCCCATGTTTGTAATCCCAGCACTCAGGAGGCTGAGGCAGGAGGATCGCTGCGAGTTCCAGACCAGCCTGGGCTACATAGTGAGTTCCAGGTCAGTCTCAGCTACATAGTGAGACCCTGTCTCAAAAACAAAAACAAAACAAAACAGAAATAAAATCTAGGCCATGCCAGGACTGGTGGTGCATGCCCGTAATACCAGTACTTTGGAGGCTAAGGCAGGAGGATTGCCATGAATTTGAAGCCCTGGGGTACACAGTGAGTTCAAGGCCAACCTGAATTGCATAATAAGACCCTGTCTCAAAAAACAAAACAAAACAAAAAAATCTAGCCCAATGGCCTTTGCCATCAATGCAGATATTCAGTTCCCTCCAAAGTCAACTGAAGTGGGCAACATGAGGTGCTGTAGAGAACACGCAATAAGGCAAGAATCAGGTCAAATATAAAACAACAAAATTTCCCTGAATGAAAACTAAAATATTTTGAAGGCTATGAGAAGTCAAATATCTTAAACAGAAGCTTCCTTCCCTTTTGTTATTTCCTAATTTCCCCCTCAATTTCCCAATATACAGTGGGTCACTTGAGCCCATCCTTTGCAGTGACAAGAAAGTCTTCCAATAACACACATTGAAAACAGTCCGGTAGTGCCTTGGCAACACTTGTATGTTGAAGCCAAACTCCCTAAAGTTCTATAGTTCTTCCCGGAGTTGGGGGTACCCTGCAAACGTGTGGGTACCTGCAAATGGCTGTACGTGGGCATGGATGCACCCCTCTCCAGAGGACATGCTCTTACATTGTGTGACGAATGACGACCTTTTTGAAAGGCAGACTAGCATGACAGTATAAAATTCACCTCCCCAAACTTCCCATGCCATTCCACCACCGAAAGTCATGTCTGGGGAAGAAGAGCGTAGATAGGACATTGGGCCCGGTGCATTTTAACGGCTTCTACAAAGACCAAGTAGGATATCGCACTCAGAAGAGGGTCCTTGAAGGGTTTGGGGAGGAAATTGGGAGCGGAGAAGGTGTGGATACTGGGGAAGAATCAGGAAAGCAGGAATTCACAGCACCAAGCAGTTCATAACAAAGAAAACTGCTAAGGTCCAGTCAGTGCCACAAACTGCGGCCCCGGAGTGGTGTCCTGAATTCCCTTCCAGTCACCCACACCCAACACTTATGCCACACTTCTCAGCACACTTCTCAGTTAATTTACTCCCCAGGTAGTCACCCCTGGATGAAATTCTCTGGCGAGGAATCCTCACCCACAACACCGTGAAGTCAGTGGTGAAACTGGGCAGAAACTTCCTCCTTCCAGCACCACACGCAGGGAGTCCCACCACCGCAGCAGACGCGCGCGTCCGCGTCCCGTCACCGCACAGGTCCCGGGCGAGCTCCTCCATCTGTCCTTGGACCATTGGATTTACTTAATTGCATTAGTTTCACTGAATACAAATAGAATTAGTACCCAGGATTTAGGATGTAGGATGTAGGATGTAGCTTTCTACCATGGACGCCCACCTCTCCCCGCAGGCGCGCGCCGCGAGGGCAGAGAAACGCGCGGGGAGCGCGCCACCACCCAGCGGGACCGCAGAGTCGCCGCCGAGTCCAGCCGGTGGCTGAGTCTGAGAGAGTCCTTTAAAGGAAACTCCGCGCAGGTTTCCGCTCCCGAGCTTCAGCCCCGGGGCCCCAGCGCAGGTGCAGGTGTCGCGCCAGAGCTCCGTCCTCCCCCAGCCCCAGGCTCCCCGCTCCGGGGTAGCCCCGACTCCAGACCCAGGAAAAGAGAAAGGAATTTGCTGTGTACCTGATCCTGTCCTTCTCTGCCCTTTGTAGTTCCTCATTTCTTTCCAGCACCTGAAAGATCTTCCTGGCTTCTTCCTCATTTAAGAAACTCAAATCAAACCCCTGAGGAACTTTCGTCATTTTCTGTACTCTGTGTATGTTACACTTAAGCTCCTAGGTGCCTCCGGTTACGGTGGCATTTTTCAAGACACAGAAGACGAGTTTCACGAACTTGATTCCATAGCCAATAAGTCCTGCCCTTTGAAAATCTAAAACCGTCGGGATCGGCCCACACCTACAGGGCTCACTTTGACAACACCTTAATGACATGTTTCTCTCAACCTGTCCAAACCAGATGCCTAATGAACGAAGGAAGGGGAGAGAAGGAACCAATCCCATCTCCAGCCGGGCGGGCCTTGCCTGGTCTCCTCCCCATCTGTTTGTGTTGAACAAACAAGCCTACAGAATTCTCCTCCAGTGAGGCCTGGGCTGCAGTGTTGGCCCCAAAGTATTTGCTTTGGCAGTTCCTGTTTGCTCTTAGAACTTGAGCTGGACTATTAACTAGCAGGAGTGAAAAGGAAAGAGATTCATAGCAAACCTCCTCTTGGAATCAAGACCTCCTAGGAAACAAAATCGCAGGACAGAAGTGTTACTCTATTGGAAGGGCCAGAAGGGGTTAAACTCACAGCCTCCATGGAGGGACCTGGCAGGAGAGCTGAAAGTATCATATCCTTGGGAATGAATTCTCTGCCAACTTTCCAGTCTCTCATACCACAACTGTCCCACAAAAGTCATCCTCAGACTTTGGAAAACCAACAAACAAAACTCATTTACGATATTTTAGAAGACTGCTCTGAGGCAAAGAATCCGACCAAAACAAAATATAATCCTATGAAACCACGAAAATCATTTTTCCTAGAAAGTTAATTATTCCACCATGTAATGAATCAGGATAGAAATTTCCAGGCATTCATACATACTTTAACAATTACGGTCTTTTTCATAAAACATGTCTTTTCTCTTGGCTTCATTTCCTACACAAATGTAGCTTTGTCAGATGTAATTTCCTGACCCCATAGCCTTAGTTTGGTCATTTCCTCCATGGTGGTGATGATCACTAACATTTATAATATACTTCCACATATATTGCTTCTTTTCATGCTAAATAAGCACAATAAAGATTTTGTACATGTATCAAAAACATGAAAATAAAACATGGGTGTGTTTTGGCCTCTGGGCCCTCTATTCACCTTAATCACTACTTAAAGACACGTCTGGACAGCTAGCTATTCAATAACTTTGTGTGGATATCTATTATCCATATGAAGCAAGAACCAATTCTTATCAATGTTTTATAACACAGAACTCTTTTCTAAATCGTCTCTCCACTGATAATGGTGGTTTGGAAGTGTCTTGTACATGTTGCTCAGTTTTTCTACTATGTTCATTTACTTGTTATTGGGCATGCACATGGGACTTTTTGATGTGAGTTGCTGGTAGATTTCTACTGTTTCTAGCCAACATTTTCTGGTACTTGTTTTTTGTTTGTTTGTTTGTTTTTTGGTACTGGGGATTGAACTTGGGCCTTTGTGCTTGCAAGACAGGTGGAGGAACCACTGAGCTAAATCCCCGGCCCAGGTACTTGTTACATAAAGATACTGTACACTAAGCAATGCAGTCCTTGTCTTTATAAAGCTTATAATCCAGTGGGGAAGATAATATGAATATAAAGATGGCCACATAATTTTAAAAATACCATAAGAGTATAGAAAAGAAATTCAGCTAAGTGGAACATGGGAAAGTAAATGGTATTTAGATTGCTACATGAAGGATGAGATTTCAACAGGAAGAAACAGGATGGTGAGAAGAAATGTATGTCAAGGTGAACAGTGTGTTGGCTAGCATAAATGCACTCTAGGAATCTTCTCTTATTCCTTTAGCTCCTCTGGTTAATAGCTAGGGGGAGCATATATCGGAAAGCTAGGAAATACAGGGACACATTCAGGGATTAGTAAACAAATCTGGCTAGAGTATACGTTCTCAATAGAGACAAAATCTCATTCTTTTTATGTGTAAGTCACACATAATACCTAGAAAGATATAAAAAAATGTATCTATTATATTAATATTTCATGAGAAGGGTGATAGATTTGAAAATTCTAAAAAACTTTCCTTGAGACAGTAATGAAAAAGAGGTTTAAAAACACTGGACTAGCACAGATGACACATGAAGAATAAAAAAGGCTAAGATCTGATTGTGAATGTCATGGTAAGGAATCTGGATTTCACCATGGTAGGAGAAGCTGATGCAGGTTTTGAGGATGGCTATGATAAAGCTTGAATTGAACTTTGGTAAGATTACTCTAATAGCAGGAGGCAGGGAAGAGTAGCATTAAGATGGCAGCAAGCAAATTGTTGTGAGGGGATGCTGACGCAGTGGTCAAGTGTACTTTTTTTAGAGTAAGAAGTTTGAGGGACCTGCAAAAAATTTATCCCTATGGTGACAGCCAGTAAAAGGGATAAACATGGGATAAAGATTCTTGAAGCAGTAGAATTTTTTTTTTTTTTTTGAGACAGGGTCTCACTATGTAGTTGAGACTTACCTGGAACTCACTATATAGCCCAGGCTGGTCTGGAACTCACAGCAATCCTCCTGCCTCAGCCTCCTGAGTGCTGGGATTACAGGAGTGCACCACCACACCCCATGAGAAGTAGACTTTGAAGTCATTTGTTTAAAAATGATTTCTAAACTGAGACTGAATAGACTAGGTGTAACAAAAGGCACAGAGAGCAGCATTGTGAACTTTGACTGACCAACCTCATTAGATATCAGCACTGAGTCATGCTTCAGCCCTGGTTTGTAGCATAACAGTGTATTATTAGGAGATTTTTATACTGACATTGTATATTGAGAAATTTACAAGATATTGACAGTTGTCCTGGAAACTATATAGAATAGTTTCTTTGGAATTGTAAACACTGTGCTCTTGAAGTAAAAATAATTCTCAGAGGTTTGTTTTGTGAGCTTACTCAGCCAGCTGCAAGCAGCCATTTTCAAATTTCTCTCTGGTAACCCCGGAAATCTCCTGCCCCACATCTCAGCTAAAGAGATGCTCATCAGTTTGGATTTTAATAGCAACCACTGGATACAAAACAATCTTTAGAAATCTCTCATAGTCTGTATTCTCAAGGCTGTTGGCCAAATTTCTAGCATTGGGCTCAGCTTTTTCGCTCTGACAATCACCTAGCCAAGAGAAACGCTGATCACACGATTGAATGTCTCGTTTTTGCCATTTCTCCCCATCCCTATCCACTCCCCTTTTCCTTCTGTGGCCCAGGAAGGATATTGGAGAAGCAACACTATAGCTTAGGAATTTTTTTTTTCATAGAAGCATATTTCTTCTTTTTGGATGATTCAGATGTCTTCTCTTCTGACAGCAGGCCACGGGTGTGTTTACTGGTAACTTCCAGTTAACAAGCAAGTACGAGTTGGTCTGAATGTAAAATGTTGGTAACAGACCTTTATTAGTAAATAAAAGAGAACTCTGAGAAGTGAATTTTCACAGTTGTTCGTTTCAGTTGTTACTGTTCTAACTGTTGAGTGCATATCTTCACAAATCTAGATAAAAGACTACCTTTTTAATGGGCTGGGGATTTAGCTCAGTGGTGCCACTGCCTGCCTCACAAGCACAAGGTCCCAAGTTTGATCCCTGGTACCAAAAAAAAAAAGACTACCTTTTTAGCCCCCACAGAGTTTCAGTTTTATATGCATTTATAGAGTAAAGGAAACATATGAAACACAGCAACCCCCAAGCTCCTAGGGCTTAGCATTTTTTTTAACTTGTAAAACAAAACAAAACAAAACAAAACAGAACAATTCTTATAAGATTGTTGTAAAACTTCAATGAGATAATGCAAAATAAAGCAATTACTAAGGTCACCACATAGTCAATAGTGGTACCTATTAATAATATGTGTGTACAGAGTGGCCTACAATTTGAAAAGTATTATTTTATTTAATATTGAAAGTTATACCTATTTGTTAGGTTGAGGAAAATTGAAAAATATAACATAAGCATTAGATAGGTAGTGACCAAAATCTCAGATTTATTACTAGAAAAATATCATGGAAGGATGTGTCTTAGTTTTGCATTTAAATGGGCTCACTAGTGCCATACCTACAGCAAAGCACCAGAGGCAAACTTGGATGGGTGCAGATATTACTGGTGACAGGCAGGTGGTGGAGATAATGACCACCACATGCTTTACTCCGTCAAAAAAACATAGAACAAGGAACTTTATGGTCTTGCCTCCTTACAATCAGACCACATACTCCTTCCACTTACCCTGAGAAGCAATAAGTAAGGGTCAAGCAGGGAGCCTGGAAATTATTCTACAAAGCTCCCTCATAGAAAAGTGAAGATCATCCCCCCCATAGTCATCATATATAAATGTAAGAATACAGAAAAGAACAAAATCTATTAATGTCTTTGTTGCATATTTAATAATTATATTAGTTAATTATGTATTATTAATTAATGATACCATCTTTTTTTCTTTATGTTTTAATTTATATCTATATATTCCTAGTCTTGCATAATATTCATATTACTCGAGGATTCATGATACATCATTATCCTAAGGAAATTTATACAGCTACATAGACATTGTAGAAGACTGTTTAATATAATGCCACTTCTATATATCCTTGAGCAATACAAATATTATGAAAGATTCATAAGACTTCTAGAGTATTTATACAAGTCACTGAGCCCGTAAGTGACAGATAGCCTAAATATATGATGATACAACCCAAGGTACTTGAAGAAGCACTTTTTCTTGTCAGAATTTGGCATCTATAGTTAAAAATCTACCTGACACAAAAGCAAAACAAATGTCTGATAAAACCCAAGAACTAAGCAGCACACACTTATTGGTCTGTCCTTCCTAGCCCTAAACAGTTGATTCTGTCTGGTCTCACATCTTCACTGTAAGGCACTTTTAGTGGATGAAGAAGGGAGGTAATGGACTCAGATTTGTATAAGTACGCAAGACTAAAACATTTCCAGATACCTTATGAAGCTAATATTAGCACCTGATAGCAGCACCTGAAAAAGCTAGGTCAATAAATAAACATATAAGCCAAAAACAACACAATAATTTCCCTAGTAACAACAGAAGCAAGAAAAAGAAATCCTAAAAAAATACAAGAAAAGTAGAAATATATTAAATGGGTAAATAAAGTTCATTCCAGAAACACAGGTATATTTTAATA